TTTTGAGACCCCCACAGGCACCCCATTGAACCCTTGTTTAAACAAAACATTTTCATCAACAAGTTACAACTTAGTTTAACTATGTACAGATAAGAGGACTTCAATAAAGAGGTACCAGCCACCTTCCCCACTTGTTGTTCCTCTCTTTGTTTTTGGGGGTTGTCTTTCATATTGAAAGGGCCCCCCTCCAGTAATGAGATATGACTCACGAAAGATTGTCACTCTCATACTAGTCCTTATTATTATATTATATAGTCCATCCCCAGCCAACTTTGTGTTTCCATGTAATCCTACCAGACACACCTTGAAACCATCTTGTTGTTATGCATCTCCATATACGCCTTTCATGCATTGTTATTGTTATGCTGAAATTCTTGAAGTCTCTCTCGAGCTCGCCTGCTAGCCACCCCAGCATACGTGGGCCGGACCGGTGTCCATGTCGCTGCCCCGGCTGACAGACGTCCCTCGGTGCTCTCTCTCTCCCGGCTGTTTATCCCTTTTTCCATGTTGTATCCTCTCGCTTGCAGGTCGTTAGCAGCCTCCTCCGTGTTGCCATAAGTTTTCACTCCATTTGGCCAGTGGATTCGCATCTTGCTGAGAGGAGTCTGGAAACGGATGCCTTCTTTCTTTAGTACCTTTTTGATATTCACGTTTGCTTTATGTTCTTGCACCATTCTCGCCGAGTAGTCGTGGTCAAAATAAACCCTGCTTCCGTCCAGAGTGACTATTTTCTTTTCCCATGCCTTTTTAAGTTCCATCTCTTTGGTTGTGAATTGTTGGAAATTGACAACGACTGACCTTGGGGGGAGACCCGCTGCCGGTTTCGGGGGTTAATGCTCGGTGTGCGCGTTGAATCTGGAGGTTGATGTTAATATTAAGCTCCTCTCTGAGCCAGGCTTCCAGAAACTGGGCCGGCGATTCTGCCTTAGATTCGGCTCCCTCTTGTATCCCGTAGAGCCGCAGATTGTTACGTCTGGATCGCAGTTCCAAGTCATCCAATTTGGTCATCATCGAGTTGTTCTCTCATTAGTTCTGTCAGGATTTGATTGGCCTCGTGGCTCCACGTCTCTATTTCTTCCGTGCACGTCAGCACAGCTTCTGATTTCCCTTCTTGTTCTTTAAGTTCTGTAGTCATGCTCTTAAACTGCTGGTCGATGTCTTCTTTAAATTTAGACAGTTCGTGTCTCATTTGGCCAGTAATTTCTTCTTTGAACGTCGTGAAGTCTGATTTCAATTCATTTTGGAGGGATTGAATTTGTTTGCTAATACAATCCAGCCCGTTTTGAAACGCGGCCATATTAGCTTCAGGTGCTAGCTCGTCCTCGTTGTTCGGGTGTTTTATGTCTTTACCTTGGGTGTCTGTAGTTCTTTTGTTGTCCCTCCGCTCATCTTCCAAAGTTGTTTTGTCTCACGCTTCAATTCGTGTTTTAGCGGAGTTTATCTACTTGGCTTGCGGGAGCTCTGTACTTATGCGACCATACTGCTCTACCGTCACACCGGAAGTCCACGACTGGTAAACTTTTAGAGGGGCCGGACCCGTAGATTAGGAACCAGTGCACAAAGCTGGCTTCAACAGTGCTGCTGACATTTGATGATTCTGTGTTATTACTGTAAATGTGTCAATAACAGAAGCAGAAGATGCTTTATTATTGTGAGATGCACACCAGCACTGCTGAGTTCTAAAAGCGTTAATGGGGATTTAGCTGCTGATCTGTGCTGTGTTTTGATGTTTTAGGTGAACATCTTTAACGGCGTGGTCATGGAGTCCATAATCAACTTCACAGGGTCACAGGTGAGTTGTGGGACAGCCATACTCTGTGGCACAGAAAGCCACAGCTGCATGTTTCAAAGTGGATATAATCAGTAAAACAAGGGGTGGAGAAAAACAAAAGATCAGCCCGCGTTCTAGATCAGTTTACAGATTGCACGAGGCCAGTTAGAAATATTGGAAGTTGACACGCGTGTTTGGTTGCCTGGAGGAGATGAGCATCAGCGTGCATTTTAATGTAACAGCTTGTACTATACCGTTTTGAAGCTGCTTTGAAATACGGTCTGATTGTGGTTTATTAATGAGCTGTTCACCAACAGTTACTTTTCAAGAAGCTGTAATCCAGATGATATTCACTTATTACATTGAGCAAAATGATCGATCATGTCTACACAGAGGGGTTATATTCAGCTGCATATTAAGCATCTCAGTGAGCTGCAAATGTTTTTTCAGTTTGCTGTAAAACACCTAAATGTCAGAAGAACAGAGCAGTTCTTCCTGCTACCACAAAGAAACATGCTGGATGCCTTTTTAGTAATGGTCAGTGTCAGATGGCAAGAAGAAGAGAGCTGCTCCTGTATCCACTGTATTATTAATTTGGTAGTTCTGAAGGGTTGAAGAAACCAGGCTTTGGGTCTTTTTAGGTGTAGAAGATCCTGTGAACACTGATCTTAAATCAAGATGTAAACTGCTCCAGATGCAGATATAGTAGAGGGGGAGGAGGGTGGGGAGGAAAACAGACTGTCATCGCTCGAGTTAATTAGTTCCTCTTCGTTTTCCTGTCTGTCCACCATAGCTCCCCCTCTGAACCTTGTAACCTCACTTTTATCAGTTTCCTGCTGCCTGCTTTCTCTTTAAAGAGACAGACGCCTCTCCCTGACGTCAAGCCTCTCACTCCTCCTTTAGTTTTCTCTGAATGTCTTCTGTTTATGCGATCTCACCTCTGATATCATTGTGCTAGTCACTGGGTTGTGGTTTGAGAACGGCCTCTTATTTCACTCAGAAGCTGCTGATGGACTGTGTTTCTTTACGAGGAGAAACATCATTCTAGCTTGTATCAGGGATGCAGCCATTACATCACAACTATTAACAGAGATATAACATTGAGTTCCTAAAGACTATTAAATTCAAAAGGCCACAGTAGTCTGACAGGCAATAAATGCTTTTGATTTTGTAATGCTAATATAATATACTTAAATAAAAAGTTCAATCTCAAGATTTCCAATCTGACCAAAATGCTTGTGACTGCATGCTTTCTTGTGTAAACTCATGATTCCACCTCCTCGACTCTCCTTCGCTCTCATCTTGTAGATGGCCGCGTACTTTGGACATTCAGTTGCAGCTTTTGATGTCAACAATGACGGGTGAGTACGTGTTTGTGTGCTCATACAATTTCCCCATCTGTGGTTTTAGACAAGCCCTCCAACAAAAGAATGGATATATTCTTCTGTACGTAGATATCCGTACAGCACCATCCATGGAATTTATGGCAGAACAATTTTTGTCACCACAGTGCAACAATAGGATGACAACATGTTTCCACTGAACTGTCTCTCTTTGCAGTTGGTGGCAGTTGGGGGTATTATTTGCTGTCTTTTGCTGCTATGTGGTGTGGTTCTGTGTGTATGTGTGAGTGTGTATCAGTGTTTTCTGCTGTGTTAAAGCTACATATTAAACCGGAATCCATTTTTCTTTAAATATCTGAATCCTACTTCCAATGACCATTAAAATGACAAGAGCTGACACTTAGAAGAGCTAATGTTTGTCCAGCTTGGGTAGTGTTTGGGGGAATTATGAATGGCAGATATTTTTATATTAATGCGTCTCTAAAGTAGACTTTGGTGTACTTGTACCCGCGATAGTGAAGTGAGCTCTGTTATTTTCTCTTGCGAGAGCTCCCGGGTAATTTAAAAGCACATTGAAGACTTTTACAACTGCTTTTGACCTCTGGAAACACTCAAACTTCAACACTGTTCACTTTGCTGTCAGCTTGAGCTTTGATGGCCTCTTTTAAGTGAAACCAGAACGCGTTTCGAGACTTTACACGTTTGCCAAGTTTGCGGTGGTTCATACACTTGTTTACGTGTTTAGTTGTGTGCCAACTAAATAAGTGGTGTGAGAGAAGCAGGGTGCTACTGCCATCGCTTTAAGGAAGTGGTGAAAATGATCAAACACAACCACCAAACCTCTCAGAGTGTTTGACCATCTGATCAGTGTTTCTGTTCAGCATGCTAACAAATGCTGACTGCTTGTTCCCATCTGCTCCTGTTGTTCAATTCAATTCAATTCAATTCAATTTTATTTATATAGCGCCAAATCACAACAAATGTCGCCTCAAGGCGCTTCATAGATACAGAGAAAA